ATTATGGATTTTTAAATAGAATATATAAAGTTTTTTTCATTTTTTTTCGTTGTATCATATCATCGTTATTAATTATTTATATGATAAGAGATAGTATTTTTATTTTTCCCTTTGTAATTATATTAATATATTTTTTTGTTTTCAAAAGATTTTCCAGAGGTTGTAAAGAAGCACAAAGACTGTATTTAGCATGTCATACTCCTTTATGTAACATCTATAGTAATACATTGTCAGGAAAAAACATCATTAATATATATAAAAAAAATACATATCATTTGTATATATATGAACATTATATAAACAAATTTCGAATTAGTTATTTTATAAAATGTCTTATAAATATTTGGGCTTCTCTTTATATTAAGATTTTTATATTATTATTAACTACTTATATTATTATGCATCCTCATTTATATTCAAGTGGCATAATCAAATTATATAAAGAAAAAAATTATGATAGAATTTTGAGTACCCTTGGATACTGTATATCGTTTTCTGCTAGACTAGGTGTTATTTTAAAATTTATGTTATGTGATTATATATACATAGAGAAACAAATGTGCTGTGTTCAAAGGTTAGAAGAATTTGCTAAAATTTCTAATAAACAAAATTCTTATATGAATAAGGAAAATGAATTAAATGTAATAACAACACAGATATGTAAGGAAAAGAATGAAAGTACTTCGGATAAGATATCTTCAATTATAGAAGATAACAATATATCCTTATCTTCAATTATAAAAAGTTCTCAAGATGATGAATCAAAAATAATATATGGTATTAAATTTGAGAATGTATATGTAAGTTATAAAAAAAAAATCCCTTTAGTTAATGGTACATATAAATACATGGATGAAGAACCATCATTAAAAAATATTAATCTGTATGCATTAAAAAATGAAAAAATTGGAATAGTAGGAAAATCAGGCGCAGGAAAAAGTACTATGCTTTTATCTATCCTAGGATTAATTAAAATTTCACAAGGAAAAATAACAATAGAAGGAAGAGACATTCGAACATATAATAGAAAAGGAGAAGATAGTATTATTGGTATTTTAGCTCAATCTTCCTTTGTTTTTTATAATTGGAATATAAGAACTTTTATTGATCCATATAATAATTTCACAGATGATGAAATTGTTAATGCTATAAAATTGAATGGTATCAATTTAGGTAAAAACGATTTATATAAATATATGCATAAACAAAATATGAAATCAAATTATAAAAAATATAAAAAAATAATACAAAAATCAAAAGTAATAAACCAATCAAATGATAATACTATTCTATTAACAAATGATTGTATAAGATATCTCTCTTTAGTTAGACTTTATTTAAATCGACATAAATATAAAATTATATTAATAGATGAAATTCCTATTTTCAATTTAAACAATTCCGCTCATAACGAATTAAATAGTTTTTTAATTGGTAAAGCAAAACCATTTAATTATATAATAAGAAATCATTTTGCAAATAATACAGTCTTAATTATTTCACATCATGCAAATACTTTGTCTTGTTGTGACTATATTTATGTATTAAGAAGGGGAGAAATAACTTATCGTTGTAGTTACGAAGACGTAAAAACGCAATCTGAATTATCAAATTTGTTAGAAATGGACGACTAATCGGTATATTATTACATGAATAAACGTACAACACACACATACATACATACATATATATATATATATATATATATATATATATATATATATATATGTTTTATATTATATTGTTACAGTGATATAGAGTAACTATATTTTTATTTTTTCAAAAATGCATAAGATTCCCTCATTGTTCTTTTTTTTTTTTTTTTTTTTTGTTATATACATCTATCATTTTTAAAAATATATATATATATATATATATATATATATACAAATTATATAGATTATAACTTTATATACTATATAATCTATATTTCATAAACAATATTTTCTTTTTTGTTTAAGTAAATATATTTATCCTTAATTTTTTATGCATTATTTTAAATACTATGAAATTTAATATATACATTTAATAACATATCGAAAAAAAAAAAAAAGTATGTATATATATATATATATATATATTATATTTACCTGTTTATAAAGAAAAAATTACTTTAAAAAAAAAGATTACAATTTTATATATTTATCTCAGAATTAATCTATAGATCATATATATTTTATTTTGTTTTTCTATATAAATCACAATTAAAAGAAGTGCCTTATATAATATAAAACATTGTGAACTATGCGGTAGTTTTTTTTTTTTTTTTTTTTTTCTTTATTTTAAATTCCATTGATATTGCTCCTCCCTAAGCATGTTAAAAAAAGATGAAATATATTGTGTAATATTTTTATTCTTTTAAGAATAATGAAAGAGTTCTTCACCTTTTTTTAAGTGTAATGAATATGATATAAATATATATATATATATGTTGATCGTATTAATCAATTCCCACTTGAACATGTGTAAACAAACAAAAAAAAAAAAATTCTTTGTGTTTTTACCGAAAGTAATAAGTAAGGTATAACTTGAGTTAAATTACAAAATAAAATAAAGATACAACCATAATATTATTCATAATATATATTATATATATATCAATTTTATATTAAAAAATATAATTAAAGATTATATATATAATATATAAAAAATATTTAGGC